TTGGAAGAGATATGTTCTTTAGTTAAAGTACTGTAAAATTTTTCAATTGGAGGTAGAGACTCTGCGAACTTATCTGGTCCCGTCATATATTCATATGGAAATACGCCTTTACGTTGTAGTAGTGGATTGTCTATGAATCTAAATGTATTTAAATTGGAAGCTAATTTGTATAATGGAAGGGACAGAAAGTTATAGGAATCTAAAAATATCAAATCATCAACAGAGAATGATATATATTTTTCCATATCTTTAGCTATACAATTTAATTTATGTTTATTAAACTTTCCCAAGTGTTGCATTATTAAATGTCCATCGTAATTTTTCAAGTTATGGAAGAATATTGGGATTTTCTTTGTTACTTTATAGTTTAAATTACAATCATTGTGGGCAGCTCCACGGTATTGCCCAGAGGAATGGCAATGATCTCTCACCCTATCAAAATATAGGGGCTTTTCACAAATGTGACAGTGTGTTGAGTTTTGGAAAGATACCTCTTGCTCAGGAGTCATTACTAGGGGAATGTATATTGCCATTTGATTTTTAATATAATCATAAGTCTCAAATAGCCTTTCGAAAAACACATCCATAACATTTATACCACTGTACAACTCTTCAGAAATAATTTTTGAATCTTTTACTACGACAAATGCAAAACCCGATGGAATATGTATATTGGAGTTTATAAAGCATTCAAAATCAGCATAAATTACATATGGAGCTTTAATTTGATATTTATAATTTTTAAATTGTAATATATCTTGTTTAGACATTTCCACTCTTTGCGCATCAAAATTCTTACAATATGTTATATGACGTTCTAATTTATCATTGGTGTAAAAATGTTGCAAACACAGCTTGCAAAAATGCTTCTTATTGTTATCTTTTGTACAATGGAACATTAACTTATCAAAATCACGAATTAAACAATAATGTGATTTACGACCTTCTTGTAATAATAATAAATCTACATGGGTATTACTATTCAGTTTGGTTGTTCTTAATGGATATACACATTTCTGGTCTTCAACTCCAAATACATTAACACTTATATTATTTTGTGTTTCAAATTTATCAATATCAGATATTTTTACGGGATATTTTATATTTGTCATATTTAACTGACTTTCATAGGGTACATAATTAGAGACTCTATTAGCATTTTCGTTGATACAATTCCTTGGATATAAAGCTGCTAATATCGACCAAAGGAAACATTTATTGTCAAAATTTCTTATATTTAGAACTGCATGTTTTGATTGAATACTCTCTGGTGTGGGGATATATGACTTTGGAGTTAGGGGTTTATACTTGTAAACATGCAGCTGCCAATACTTAGTATGGTCATATATCCAACCACTGCCTTGGGCTTGATATTTGTGAATGGATGCATCAATCTTTAAAAGTGCATTTTTAATTTGAGGCTTTAAATCTCTTTTCTCAATAATTAAGGTAGTAAGACTTCTAAAATCCGCTATACATTCTTTTTCATTAACTAATTTTCCATTTTTATCCATTGAATATTTTATAAATTTAATTCTCCTAACTAAAGTCCATTTTATTGGCAGAGGAAAAGACTTGAGAGTATTTTCAAGTTCAGCTCTAATTGATTCACCAACAAATTTTATCATTGTGTATGGACAATTGTTGCAAGAATTGATATGTCTTCTAAAATGGCCAACAACATTTTTCTTACAAAAATTACAAGTCTTGTGACTTTGTAATATATGTGATTTTAAAGCCACATTATTATCACAGATTAAATCACAAACCTTGCACAGTTTCACATTCATTTGATGAATTACCTTGTAGTGGCGAATCAGGTTACTTTTGGTGGAGAGCGACACGGAGCAGTGTTGACATGACGGCTTCATGTTTAGGAATGAGGACTTGGGCTGATGTCACCTCTATTTATAGATTTTCCGAAAATTTCAAAAATTTTAACCAGAAATTGTGAAATTTTCAAAAATTTTTAACCAGGAATTGTGAAATTTTCAAATTTTTTAACTAAAAATTAAGAAGTTTTTACATAAATTTCTAAATTCTTAATTAGAAATTACTTCAACGGGAGGTCACCCACTCAAGACTTAATCAGTATTTGCCACTAGAGACGAGAAGACTGACCATGAGTCAGGAGCAAGAAGCCTGACCATAGGTCAGGAGCGCGCCATGAGCCGGGAGCGCGCCCGAGTTCGCGTACAAACCTCGCACTGTCAAGTTGATGATTTTGAGAATATACATGTGAATGGATATGGATTTGAAATAGTAATAGTGTTGTACAATGGTATTGAACATTTATATAGGCTTGTATAGGCCGAGAGCTGGATTTTTTAAAAAGTGGTCAAAAAAAGCTCACCATGTTATTCTTATGGGGAAAACGTGCCTAAAGTGGCGTTAAACCATCATATTGCCTCTACTCTACATTTACACTTGTAAGGGTCAATAAATATAAGAAATAGCTTTTTTAGCTTAATATCGAATATATTTATGGGGAATAAGTAAGAAATAAGGTTTGACAATTTTATAGGGATATTTAGGCAAAAGATCAGGATTTTTGGTTTTAGTGGCCAAAAAATGATCCCATGTTATTTCTTATGGGAAAACGTGCCCCAAGTGACTTTAAACCCGTATATTATATCTACTTAGTCCTTATTACGGGAAGTTGTTAAAAATATGTATAGTATATAATTGATAGGTTTTTCAATTAGTTGACAAACTTGGGGTTCAAATTACACTAATTATTGATGGTTAAGCTATGTGATAGTTGTAGACTAAGGCCTCGTCACCTTGTAGGCTAGACTGTACGTGTACATTATAATATAGTCTGGCGTCTTGAGGTGTAAAGGTAGAACATGACTACTACGGTATTTAGAGCTATAGGAGGCAATGAGATTCTCATGAACTTGTAGGGATACCAATGGCTCGCGGTTAAAGATTTAAACTAATATGTAGAATAGCAGTGTTTATTTTTACCCAGAAACGATGTTAATAAGGCAATTAAATTAAAACATAAAATAATAGTGTGTCCTACCCTTATACAATAATTCGCATAAGGCATTAAGGGGACTGCTAAATTTATATTACAGCAAATCCTCACAAACTCAACAATTTGAGGACTTAGTGATTATCGAGTTATCCATTGATATTTGTAATACGTTTTTAAATAATTAATATATAAAGGAAAAGGTTTAACATATCAATTAACTACTTACATGAGTATTTTTACATATTGAGTAAACAATCTTCAAAGAAACTTAAAATATTCAACCATTACAAATAATTGTTCCGAAAGCATTGTTGCATTTCTTGTGTGTGCCATGTCAGATGTTGACTGCTGGTGTCGACTTTGTGTGGTTTTACATAAGATATTTCGAACCACAACTGTTTAAGTAATATGTTCGAAAACAAAAGTATATAGGTTTGTCATGAATATATAATTATGAATTCTAAAAGCGTGGTTAGTGCCTCGATACGATAAATATTAGACGATAAGGGGGAATGTATAGAAAAAATTTGTGGGTTTAATCTACTTAAACGTTTATAGGGTAGTTATTGATACCTAAAGTAATACCTAGAACAGGTTTTTCATCAACTTTTATCTCTTCCTACATTGGTTGATTGGTTCAATTTTCTTCATTAGGGCTATTAGGATGGATTTTGTTTAACTTAATAGTTTAGAGATTATATAAGTAGGTTAACCTGAACAAAAGCAAGCCAACTTTGTCCTCAACATAATTGATATAACCCCAATAATCCATTAGATATTTTGTTAGATTAATCCTTAATACTTTGACAATAAACTTAAACAACTTTACTTTAACTTTTTTTACTTTAACTTAAACAATAAATTTAGGTGACCAAACAAGACATGTCCTTATTTTTAAGTATTGTTTGCCAAGAGTTCGTTGGACTGGGTCAATAGTGGCAAAGACTAATGGAAATGTTGGTGTCTTGTTAGGTAAGTTACTTCAGGTCTTGTTATAACCCAAGTGTCTTAATTTTTTAACGGTGGCGATTACGTTAAGTTTTATCAACATCAACTTTAATATACAAATGTATTAGGCATTGATAAAATATATACTCATATCAGTTACAGTCCTCATCTTAACAGTCTAGGTATAACTATAATTTTTTTCATTACTAATATAATCATAATTTTGTAGTCACCAACTCTGAGATTACGAAGAATACTACTTATGCACATCAATTCCAAAACTGATTTAACTCAAATGACTGTGATTAAATGCTTTCAGCAGCATTTAATAGTTAAAGGTAATTAGTTGGCATAGTATTTTTAAGTCTTAGGTTTGGAACTTTTTAAATTGTTTAAATTTACATGCTTGGAACCAGAAAAGCTTTATATTGCTTTTCTATAACTTTTAAAATGTTTAAATTTATAATTTCATCGTTCAAACCCCCCCCCCTCTCATCCTATGCTTTGGAATTTGTCCATTCATTAGGCTAATCCATGGCTTAAGTAAAACACAATTATTTCTTTTAGCAAAACACCAATTTTAAATTAAGAAAACAGAATAACTGTTGATGAATATGAAACGTCTCATTATAATGTATGTATATAACATTTTATAACGGAAACTAAGTGTTTAAAAGAATATCTGTATTTAAAAATGTAGATGGAATGATATACAAAAACATTTTACGAAAACTTATCAACATTTTATCTTAATTTTGTTTGTATAATATCCCACTTAAAATATTGAAGGAAAAGTAAGTCATGTATTTAATAAGTATTACTTAATTGGCATATCCAAGCAACCTATATAAAATAAAAATGGTATAGCTTTGTTTTTCCAAAAAACTATTCGTATTTATTTTGAACAACAAACTCAAAAACAATGTTTATATCTGTGACAAAATAACCAAATAATAAATAATTTATGGTATCCTAACTCTGCGAAAATAACATTTTTAACCACATTAAGATTTTTTAGATTTTATATATACCACAAATATAGCAATCTAAGTTAAAAGTTTAGACTCACCAATGTTAAGTCCAGTGAGCCATGCCGTACCTCCTCGGTGACGTCTTCATGCCGGTGTACCTCGTACTACGAGCTCAGCCATTGGCATGTCGTGGGGGTATAGGGGGAGGGGGCCACATACACACACATACAGTATTAAACACATGGACTACATAGCCCTAACTCTTTATTGCCGGAGAAAGGTGTGGTGAAAAATAAACGGTGTTCTTGAATATTGTTTTCTCGTACTGGTCTAGTTGTGTAGGTATATTCCTCTTTGCACTTACATTGTAAAATACTGGAGTTAAAAGGTACCAAAGATAAGTGGAACTTGATTAGTTAAGGAATCACAGGTAAACACAAACTAGCTCCTCTTTACTATTTAAACACCCGTACACTGCACTTGTAAACAGGTTATCTGGGAGGGCCACCAGCTAACCTAACCTTCGTAGAATCATCGCACAGCACTAGACACAACTCACTGAAACACAAACTCACTACAACATCTGTACGCAGTATGGGATTAAAGATCAGACTATTGGGTTGTAAATTTAACGAATATGAGTGAATATAAGAGGTAAAGCTTCGGCGTGCAGTTACACCCCAACCGTTATACGCCCGCACCACCCCCAGGTCGATAAGAGGGGCTACACAGCACGGACAGATTAGTTCCTACGGTTACAGGGATATGTTATAATTGACTCAACAGGTTCAAAATGTAACAAGTGTCGTTGGGTGATGGTAATTCGAGTGAACAGTAAATTGTTTGTGGTAACAATAACAATAAGTTTATGCTAACACGGTTGTGGGTGGACCAAAAAAAAAAAAAAAAAAAAAAAAAAAAAAAAATAGGATCGTATGTGGTAGTTTATTTCAAACTGATTGAAATAAAATGATTAAATAATAAAAAATTGATAAATTATTTGTTTCAATAATTTTAAATAGTTTAACTTTGTTTAGACTAATAGGAGTGGTAGTGTTGATCACAGTTTAAAAGTCTAGATACAAAGATAACTTACGTAATGGGAAGAATTACAGATATTGTAGAGGCGAACAATTTGTTGATTAAACCCTTTAGACGAGTTTCAAAGGGAAGTGGGTTTATCAAACATTTACAAACCTAATTATACAGTATTTAGAAAATAATGTTTTCTTAAGTATTAATTCGTTAATACTTTTTATTTGATACATTCATTGGTTTGTAATACGTATTATTCAAACGATAAAACAATTACTGTTGAAGGTATAAAACTTACAACATTGTAAGACACTAGACACGTATATCCTCATACTTTCTTTTATATATTTTAAAATCTCAGATTTGTAAACTATTAACACGTTGGAGAGTCACCAGTAAAATTATTGAACTTGATAAAAGTCTGGAGGAAACCGTTGGTGTATGTTTGTAGGGACCAACCTGTTACACTCCGCACTACTTCCTTCCGCTACTTCTCTGACCCTTCTTCTCTAGTTTTATTTCAATTTCGTTTGAAAATAATGTGCGAAGAGGACATAGCTAAAGGAAAATCAAAACATTCAATATGTTTAAAATAAATAACAAACATAGAAGTTTTGCAATTAACTGAATCGAAAGTAGTTTTTAAACATATAAGCAGCATTATAACATATTAACTTGTTAATTATTGTAAAGGTTAACTGAATGGTATTTTCTCACCATTAAAAAAATATTTTTTAAGAACAGCTTATTTAATCGTCCTCAAGTTAATTTTATTCATAAATTTACAATAATATTCCATAAGTGACAATTCAGGTCAATTCACTTCATTTGTGTTGTCCAAACAAGCTACAAACATGTAATTTAATCTAAAACTACATAAATTTTCAGATTGAATAATTTGTATATGTAGTAGTGGTGGACAATTTGACCTTTATCTTACAATACACCATCAGTATACAATACAAATTTAATACATTCTTGACATGAAGTAAATAAAATACGTCCAATAACACTTGAACCATAGTCATTTACGTCATTGGATCTGATGATGATTAGAGAATCCAATGGATTTCGATCACCACTTATAATATTATATTCATTTGTTGTATTGTGGGTCAACAATATAAGTGTAAATACTGTGTATGGTTAACGTGTTGCTAGATGTACTTTTTATTTACTTTTTGCAGTAAAAAAATAAGATGACAATATTGAAAATATCCGCAATTAAACTAAGCAAATGTAACATTCAATTCTTAGTTCATTGTACTTTGTTGGTAATACAAATTTAAAAATTTAAAGCTTTAGAAACTGCCTAAAAAGGTTTAAAAGCGTTAAAACCTTAATGTAAACAGTAAGTTGATTTGGAAGGAGGAATAAAAGCTGCCAATCAAATTGACCTCTTTGTTTCACAACCTTTTAAGAGCAGACTCGCCACGTTGTTGTCACGTCACGAAATAAAAAAAGCTCCTCTTTGGCACTTCGTCCATTTATTTTATTTGTTTTCGCTTAAAGTTAAAAGTGGAAAATCCTCAGAGCTAAATTTAATTTTCTGAATCTAGTTTTTATATACGACTACTTATGTAAATTCCGTTAGACAGCTCAATTAATATGTTTTTTCAGAACATGATTCAGACATGTCTGATATAATAAAAGGGTTTAATGAATGAAATGAGTCAATAATTAATTGTATTCAATAGTTTGATCCCTGTAAGCGAAGAACTAGTTTTGAGATTCACGTGGTTTTAGCTCGTAACTCACTTTTGCAGCTTAATTTATTGCCCCATACATTACAACGACATTGGCTCGGTGCGAAGTAAGTAAAGTTGTTACAGTTATTATATAGAAAATAACCTACCTTCTAGACTTTAATTAATTGCACCTTGTTAATAGTTGTAATATATATTCAGATCGCTATTATTATTGTAATATATTAGTTATGTAATGTTCAGAAAGATATTACATTTTTATTTATTTTTATTTTATAATAGCTTGTAAGATTTATCGTGAAAAAACATGCAACCGGTTGACGAAGAAATCCTTTTTAGATTAAGGGAAAGTAACATAATCTTCTTTTTTTTAAATGTTTTTCGCACGAGTTGACCATTCCTGGTATGACAAGAAATATAATATGATGGTTTTAAACATTCTAATGTATTTCCTGTATACTAAAAGAGTATTGGTTGACAATTTTTAAAAATATCTTTTGTGGGTTGAAGTGAAAAATGTACCTAACTGAAACACGTTGCCTACCCGTAGTCTGTGTGGTATGTCTTGAGTCACCTGGTGAATGTGTTAAGACGTTATTTTCTAACCCCCGTCAACATTATAAAATATACAATCTACTTTACAAATGAATACTAAATACTTAGAAAGTTAAAGCGTCTAATGAGGTTTAATATTGGGTACGGTTATGGCCCAGCATTTCAAGAGGAACCAATCGAATTTGTATACCTTATACTGCTATTCACTAATCAAAAAAACAAAATTCAAAATAGAAAGCATTTTTTTTATGATTATAGAACCTATTCTGATTCTTCTAAAGGATGGTTTGAAATGTATTTCATTGGTCGGGAATATAGAAACAAAACGCAACATAAATAATGTAAGTACAATAGTACATGGGTACAATGAAACGTAAAGAACGTACACACTCCAATAAAACTGAAGACACGTATCTAAGTTATGTCTTGATCTTGTTGTTTTGAGCAACTGTGTGCAAGGGCAGCAGTAACAAAAGGAGAACAACTTGATAGCCATGTAAAATTATGTGTATTCACTTATTGAGTTGAACACTTATTTTATGCCAACAATAAACTTTTTTCGTTGTGAACATGACTCCTCCTAAAATAAATGTACAGTTATTATACATTTTTACCTTTCTAAAGATGTTTACCTTTTGTTGTTAGCACTGTACCTACAAATATTTATTAAATATTTATGGTGTAAATCATTTAGAAACTACTGGCAGAATGTATATAATTTGAGTTTTTTTTATTATATTTAGTTCCCACTTCCCAACCTTCTCTGCATAAAAGCAATGTACTAGTAATACAAAACAAAACATTGGATATAGTTAGAAATAGATTGAAAATAAACCACATATTAGAATATTACAAGCCATAATATTAATACTCAATCAAATTAAACCGCAACAATAATTGAAATTTTCCACCTGTCTTTTTCAGTAGAGTCTAGAACTTGATATAAATCCTTGTACTTAATTACTTATCTCCAAAGGTTTACCGTTTTTTCTGATTTGAAAGGCTGAAATTAAGATGGTTAATTAACGATTGATATGTTTCATTAAAATTAAAGGGCACTGGTTGTGAATTAAATACTAATTGTGTTAGTACAAAAATATATTTTATTTTTAACACAAAAAAGTCTGATTTGACTAAAGAACAGAGAAACTAAACTATTTAGTAACTAATTGAACATGTACAGATTAGCAGTTACAACACCTTTATCATGTAAAAGCTACTTAATAATTAACAAATCCTTTTGTTTTAGAATAAAATATTATTACAATCCTTTAAATGTATGAGTTAACCACTTTTATAATGCCTATTAGTATTTGTTTGGATACTTCCTTGGTCATAGGTCTATAAAATGTATGAATCCTATGTGCAAGAAACATGTAGGGTAAGCATACCGCTTCCTGGTACATAATAAAAGCAATTTTCGATCTAGTCCCTCGCCATTTAGTGATGCTGTCATAAGGAAAATCATAAGTATTTCCTTATGTTATACTTCATAAGCTTGCAGTGAAATAAAGACATTTAATTTTATGACGATACTGTATTTAGATTAAACAAAGTCTATTACAGTTACTCTCTATGGGATGCATCATACCATAACCTTTTACTGTTACTACATCAATAATCAATAGGAATAAAAACATAATATACTGAATAGTTATGTTTTTAAGCGGATCTATGGTCCCAGGCCCACTATAGTGCTACTTCCCTGTAGGAGGAAGCTATAAACAAAAAGCATCGAAATTGCGTTTGTACAAAGATTTGATTTTTAACTTACTGTAAAGATTAAATTTAAAAATACAAAAAACCATTCATATATTACTTTTAAGCCATATTAATTGTATTTCTTTACACCGAAAATTAAGTAGAGTCTATTCTAAGATGAATATGGTAAATTCACTAAAAAGATAACGAAACATAAAATAATGTGTTAATTTTTTTAACTGTTTTATATAAAGAGCGACCTAATTCTGACCTCACAGTTCATATTTTCTAAATTTTTTATAGATAAAATTTACCTCCCTTGCTTCCAGGGTATAGTTACTGTTAGCCAAAACCACCATTGAATTTAAACCAAAATATTCAGTCCAATCCCAAATATATAAAACTTTATCTTTAGTCGTGTATGCAGCACTGAACATCTATTAACATTTGAAAGTTTCATGAATCAACAAAAATAAATATCTTGTAATATATTTAAAACTCCTTTTTTCCTCTCCAACCTCTCCTTGCTCCCCGGGTCTAGACACTTGTCTCACGGCAGACCCGGGCTTCGCCCCTGGAAGAGCAACCCGCTCAGGAGTCCCACCACTTTTAGGGGTTTCCTCTTCTTCCACTTCCGTCATAACTCTGCCGTCAGGAACGACTGGGTGCTTTCCCAGTCGTTTTCCTCATCTCAGTCATCCACTACCTGAAGTCAGTAAAAATATTTGTATTTCAAAGATTCCAGGAAAGGAATTAATCATATAGATAAATAGGGTCACCCGTATTCTTTACAACGTACAGCTGTGAAACTGGCTGATTTTTGACAAGAGATCGTGAAATGGAAATTTAGGGATGTAAGTTATCACGTTGATTATATAAACTCATAGTGAATGGTAAAATTTTGTCTGAACCGCAGACAAAAGCTTGAAAATGGTTAGAGAAACCCGCATTTGTATAAGTACACTTTGAAACTCTATTATATTATTTTCTTAGAAAATAATTTACATGCTGATAACTGACATATTATTTTTATTTTTTTTTTGGGTACAGCCAATCATACTATTCAAGCAGCAGTATTTTTCCTAAAAGTGTTCCTTTACCCTGGGTTAAGTTTCTATGGTTGGTTCTCACACAAGCAATGCTTACTTACTCTAATTTAGAGTATACAACTTGCTTGGAAGTGTCATGTAGTCATGCAGACATCGTATTATATTAGCTACATTAAACTAGAGCGTTGATACTATTAAAATAATGATAAATTTGTCAAATGAGGGGTCTGCTGCACATTAAATGCATGCCATCTCTTTATTGGAATATAAATAGAATAACGTTGTGAAACATTTTTGTTTATTATTGTTTTGCCTCTGTGTGATCACACATGCTTTTACCTAAATTAAGGCATAACACAATACGACGTTGAACATTTGCAAGTGACCAAACATTTTATTTATAAACTGATCCAAGTAGCTTCCCCTTGACCAACAAATTTAGCAACAATATTCGCTATTCACAGTCTCGGAATGGAAAACAATTTTTTGAATCCATGAATAGTTTTGTCTCTACAGAGTTTGTACTTTTCTCACTGCTTTACCTCACAACTGTGGAACTTGGAGGATGACTCGAGCCAAGACTCGACCTCGGTGTTGGAGGCTAGATCGTCGGTGGAGGGGAGTTCCTTTAGAGGAGTCATCTCCTCAACCAGGCGTCCGTTGGGCACAGACTGTCCTGAGGACTTCAACAGACGTTCACGGCTATTGGACACTAAAAGGAATAGTAACTATACAGTATAGCATATGTCATTTTGTGAATGAAGATATTATAATCCATTTATTTACAGTTATGTGCGTGAAAAACTTTTCAATACTGAAATCCTGTTCAATTGTAAATACTGTTTATGAGAGATGAACATTAGTAAAGGATAATTATCGTGAAGGTGGGTTGACTTGGTTTGTAACAGAATTTTTAATGGTTTTTGTATTAAGAACTCATATTTTTACCACAACATGTAGGAAAATATTAACAATAAGGATAACATATAATGGTTTCAAAACACGAAGATAACGATGTCTTAAATTGCAGCGTATTCCTTTTAGGCTAGTTTTCTCAGAAAACAATGCTGAAATCTTGAGATGTAACAGTTTTCCTCTAATAAAATTTTGTACTTCAGGATTTGAGACACAAGTAGTCAAAGACATAAATTAACATATGCCTAACAATTATTTAATTAGAAAATGTTTGACAGCTTGGAAAAACTTCAATAAATTCAAACTATGGCTATGGATTTTCATCGAGAAAAAATACTAATCTCGACGAACAGGTTATTCCTTAAAGTTTTATCTGAAAAAAAAAGCAAAATTCTTGTCTAAATATCTTTTTTTATTATATTGTACACTTTTAGTTATATGATGTAAGAACTATTTAGGAGTAGGCTATGCCTATGGAATTTCATATCAATTATCAATCATTGAGATGGGGACGCCACTTAGGTGCGTATTTTAACCCAAATATGAGTGAAGGACGAGTGTAGAATGGTGTGTGATAACCTGGGTAGCTTTGTTATATACTTGTTATTTACTGACTAACATAGGTTTGTATCGTAAGTATAACTAAGTTAATACAAAGAACATCACATTTGAACGTCATAACTCCCACTAACAGTATGAATGCACAACTACTAAACATTAGTCAAAATACACTTCCCCCGTGAATGATTCATTTAGATGATATAACTTAATCTTTTTTGTGTGTGCATTGTAACACGATAAATCTATTTTTCATGCTGTTAGATTTATTTTTTAATCTCACCAGACTCAGGAGACTTAGGTGAACCTCCAGACAGAACCGTGCTGTGTCGCAGGAGAGCTTTAAAGGAAGGACTCTTGCGATCCCGGTTGACATTCAAAGTGGAAGTTATACTGGGAAGACGTATATCTAGGTGAAACCCCTTCTCGGTTACAATCTGTAGGATTCAAATAAAATATTAAATCCTTTGACTGAACTAATTCAAACTACTTAGCTGTGATAAGAATTTAATTTTCTGAACAATCCGTAACAAGTCTTTTCAAGTTTTTGTTTGTTGAGTGTTTAGTTTGTAACAAAATATTGTAAATACTTTGATATCAAATCTGGTATACCTTAACACTCAGGGTAGATTAGTGCTTTCATAAAAAAAACTGGTTAAATAATGTAATTCAGTACTAAACTAATCTATAATAGTCTACACTATGGTAAACATATGATACTATTATATATACAACTAAACCCCGAAGGAAAACCAACATTAATGTAACTCACAATTATTTAAAACCATAACTTTATGTTTTTGGATCGTTATAAAATACTGATACTACTCATTTCATAACATTGAAATTCTGTAAACAATTTATTTTTGAACAGGCAAGGGCTTTGAGGGGTTTGAATAGGGTAGGGCTTTCTTAAGTGCAGAAAATATTCTGCAAGATACAAAACGTCAAATCAATATGCATTTACTTAATCGTACTACTGTATTATGAAGTGCAGTACATGAAACGTGATTGGTTGTAAAATAAAAAAAAACCAAGGTGGTCAAAGGTCAAAGCTTTAAAATAAACTTCATCTGCAAACTTTGTACGATTCGGCAACCGTAAAAAGACAGAATGGTAAGTAAATTTACCTGCTGAAAATACAGCTCTTAGTTTAAATAAAACTCTCCGTTTTACAATGCTTCCAAAGTGAAGGTTGCTATTTTGGTTTTATTTCTATTTACGTAATATCCTGGACGTTTTAAAGGCATGTCTGACTTTTCAAAACCATTATTAAATCCTTCTTATTCTCACCTCATGAATCTTATATTGATTCGTTAAAAATATGTAATGTATTTATTTGATAAACAAATGTTGTTTAAAATCTTCTTACTATCGACAAGGATTCTATAATTTCATATCAACTTATATTCACAGGAAGCTTTTGCAAACTACAATAATAATAAAGATTTTAACTTGTGCATCAATAAATACAGAAATCTTTTCAGACAAAGTATTAGTGAATTTAAAAGACCCCAAAGAACAAACATAACGTTAATAAGCAAGGTAAGAAATACCAAGATACATGCACGTTATAGGATATTATTATAACTTGCCTTGTTATTCATAGCGTACAGCTTAGTAGTGATGTCTCTAGCTACTAAGGTGGACATCACTGTAGCCAGATATGTCTCTTTGACAAACAGATACTCCAGTGTAGTCCTCATCCAGTAGAGATAACGACAGCTAGTAGCTGCTACTATAGACACCTAAAAGGAACAGTCTATTAAAAAATAGGTTTTAATTCAATGTTGATATATTTTAAAACATAATTATTCCTGTCAAAACTTAGCATTCAGTTTGAGGGTTTGTAACAGTGGAGAATAACACCAACCCATGCAGTAAAATCGATCTTGCATTGTAAATACGTGTTATTCTACATAAATACGAATCCAAAATACCAACAAATTATCAATTATTATGATAAATTATAAGATAAGGACCCAACCTAGGTGCGTATTTTAACCCAAATATGAGTGAAGGATGAGTGTGGAATGGAGTACGATGGTCTGTGCAGATTTGTTACTAACTAAGATCAGTTGTGTTATAAGCCAGGATCGTTTATTTAAAACCCAACGAGCTGTTGGACCGTCCTACGTACGGGAGTAGAATGGTAAATTAAAATTGAATTCAACTACTGTAATTTACACGCATTAAGACAAATTCTAGCAGTTTAATGGGAACGATGTCCAGAGTAACTAGTGCTTAAAGTGGCACTTTAAGCACACTGCGCTTGCTTTACACGTTAATTTTCCTACAGTTACTATAAACCGTATCAAAAATTAGCCTTTCAAATACTAAACAAGGCGTTTTAGTCTAAGTTAAATTCAAGCGTTGAACGAAAATAGAATGTTAACACGAAAAAGCAGGTTAAGTCGTAGTATCAATAGTCAAAGGCTGGGAAACGCTGTACCAGCTAGTCGTGGTACATTTAGTTTCGCTAACTTTTTTTTTGCGTAGGTCAACACGTATTACGTGCCTAATGAAAGCACACTGTTTTGTGTTGTTTTGTTGGAATTCTGGAGTGCGGAAAAGTAAAACGAGTGTGGTAAAAGTAAGTAAATGCAACAACTAGCTTTTTTGCTTGCTATAATCAGTGCAAGGAAGCCAGCAACTAGCAGATTGACTAATTAGCTTTAACTAGTTAACTTGGTATCTAGCTAACTCATTTAAGCTAATTGGTCAATCTCAACATGTAGCCCTGATTGTCACCTTGAACTTGTCGTCCATGTTCGCTCTGCTTTCAAACTCCGGAGAGTCGAGAAATTCACAGGGCAAGATGGGATGGAGGAACTGCTGATCTGAGAGCACATTGACCTGCAAAAGAAATAAATTTAAAGGTGAGATATTTGCGATTTTAGATACCACAAAGTATCTATTGTTTATGACTATAAGAACCATTAAATAACAGATTATGTGCCAATGTTTTACAAGGATTCAGTAAAATCTTTACTTTTGCAATAAAAAAATACATAGCTACAATAGGGTAGAAATATTCAGTAAAAATGTTTTAAAGTTTATTCATTTTGTTTCTAAACGAAGTTAAATACAACCATCTATTGCGGTATAGTATCTTTGCTCATTTTTGTGGGGGAATGACTTGTCGAAAATGAGACTATTATTTTTGTTTCTTCTAATATTAATAATTACAACTAAAGAGTTAGGGTATTCATTAAATTCTTGAATATATAACATTACTTTTCCTGTTAGGAGAAGACCCAGACGATCAGTTCTGGTAAGGTTTTGCATGGCGTACGCTTCCCCTGCATGTAGAGACATGATCTGAGCCAAGTCGTTACATACCAGCTTCTTAAACTGCATCCGGGTTACCTGAAACCGACAGGGGGCATTCACTGCAAATTCCATACAATAACCCTCATGAGATGTACAGCTTTACAAGGAAAATCATTTAATGTCAAAGGAGGATGGTAAAAGCCGAATATAATTTAACAGCGGGTTTCCCATATTTACTTACCCTTTTAGAGTTTATATGATTTACAAAATAGTCATAAAGTTAATGAGTCCACCTCTTCTCCCCCTTTTTGTACTAGAAATTCATTGATAACCGTTTAAAATTAAACCTTTATTGTTGAAGTTCTTTAAAAAAAATCTATAAACACTAAGAAAAATATAGGGGTTTAAAGCTCAAAAGATACCGTTATTTATTGAAACGCTCACCTTAAATGGCCGGAAAAGTGTGTGATAAACTTCCTCTAGTTCAGGATCAAATTTGACCGGTCGCATTTGGTAAAGGACGTAGATGAGTTGAAACAGGTTGAGCAGAGTGAAGCATAGATTCCACACGAACACGTCAGGAGCGCAAACAATACTCCACGCCCAAACGCAGAACATGAAATAACCTGTAGATATTAGGTAAAGTTGTACTATTGGTATAGAGGAACAAAATAATATAGGTAGCCATTGACTATTGGATACTAGTCAAAGATGGAACATAACCAGGATGAGTTAAAATTGTTATGGAGAGTCGGGATTGTCAGATAAGTAAAAACCCTTAATGAAAAAAATATGTTTGACTCTATTGTAGTTTTAAATGTGACTTGAAGTCACTAAAATTTGTTCTTACCAATTATGAGGAGGAAATGCATGAAGACGATTCCATATCTGTTTGTAGGTGATGAGTAAGACAACATACAGCAGATGTTGGCGAGCTGGAATACAATGTGCTGAGGTTCTCTCCACTCCTCGCACCAGCCGAGACTCTCTGGAAAAATATAATAACAGATGTTTAAAAGAATGAAAAACTGAAAAATGGAGAAGCGTACAAACTCAAACAAAATGGCAGAGTGAAGAACGAAGGCCAAAAGTACAATAAATAAAGGGTGAAAATAAAAAAGACTAAAGGAAAAGAGCCCAGAAAAATATTCAAACCATGATGACCAACTAACAATATTGAAGAACTTAAACTGGAATAAAAAAAATACTACAGATACATTTTATAATTATTAGTTCGAAAAGTATTAGAAAGTCTAATTCATTATAAATCGTAATGTGGCCGTGTGATCTTTTGGATTGAATACTAAACTGTATATCCTTGGTCAATTCAATATACCATGTCATTCACAGAAAATGTATCTTACAATGACTGAACGTAAAATCATTAAACACTTCTATTAGTATACACGCAGTTAGTTATACTATTGCAGTTATTTATGAGATTATTTTAAAAAGAACTAATATATAGAATTGAACTTAATTAATATATACGAAGTTGCCAATTTTTTCATGGTATTAACAACAATCCCACTGTAATTAAAAATATATGTCCATAGCAAACCGGAAATGGAAATACATATTTTATTTTACAAACTGTAGTAAATTACAAATTGTTTAAAAGCAGTAGACATGTTGCATGGCTTGCCCTGGCGTGCTCCAGCGGTAAATAAATAACTACCAATTACCAATTACGGCAACGCCCGGCGTGAAATTAAATTATTATATTAGTACGGAACTGCAAGGTTGCACGCTTGCATTTAGAGTGGCACTTAATGACGTTTTAAAACTATTTGGAACAAACTTGATCGTATCATTAGCTTCTCCTTTTAACATGTTCTTTTAACGCATGAGTTTTTTTCCTTAGACTATGTAATTTTAAAATGTAATATATTTTACTTCAACCACAGTAAAAATTGATGTCGTTGGTTATTTACTAAATTAATTATACAATAGCTATTATTAATTACTTATTTAAAGTATTCAACATGTTTAGGACTAAAGAGACTATTCATTACAGACTGAGAAAACAGGCTTGAAAACGTAAATAAAGACTCATTTCTGTCAGCTGGGATTTGACTGATGCTAGAGAGTCTGATAATAAATAGATGAAAGCCTTAATTTTTTTTATCTAATAACCTACATTATTAATAAAAAAAGGATCTTAAAATGTCGATGGAAAATAACCACACTGTTGTAGCGGTAACCAGTTTTAACCAGATTGATCGCAAACCAAGGGATAATAATTCCGAAACATTGTTTAAGTTTTTAAAATTTTATATCTTTGTTAAAACCGATATGTTTGGTAATTAGATAAGTAAGCACATGTGTAAAATGTAAAACGATTTGTAACATCCAGTAATTTTAAAAGGAACTCAAAACACCTGCAACTCGTATAAATTACCTGCATATTTTTTTCAAACGTAAACAAGCACACAGGTCAGGTGTAATAGACACTTTACTTACCCATGCCCAGGTATGTGGTGTAGTTGAAGGGTCCCTCTTGCCATGTCTGATTCTCTCCTGGGTATATCTGGACCACGGTAGCGCCTCTGTCAGACAGACCACGGCCAGCCGTGATGGACCCGGGAATGACACCTATATAAACACAGATGTCAACATGTGTAAAATGTATGTATATATAATATAATTGTATAATGATATTCATAGCATAAAATAATATTACACAAAAAACTTGAAGGAAAACCACTGCAAAATATAGAAAATCCACAAAATGATAATTTAACGAAATATTTTGTGTTTTTACTGTAATAGCTTACATGATGAAATTTAAACCTATTTGAAATATATATATTTGTTCCGATCACATTTCAATAAGCTTATTTATCCACAGAAAACCCAAACTTGTCAACTCTTGTCTCACTCTTGTATGTATTAAACGAAATTCTAAATGCTGTAAATATTATTGGATCCTTCAAGGAGACAGTTATGGAGCCTAAATATTTCTTGTGAGTGAAATATCTCATACGCAGCTGCTCGTTGGTTGACAGTGCAAACAATCCCTTGACCTAGATATTGGAATCAGCAATAAACTATCCAGTCTGCAAATGGATGCTGTGGTAGTTTAAAAAATAAACTTCTACTCAATACAATTTATAAATTTGAAAAGCGAAGCCACACACACCTAGGATGCAAGGTGGAAACAACAGTAGTTTCTTTTTCTTGGGAAAATTACCAAATAGTTATAAAGGTATATTATGTTCTTTTCTGGTTGGATTCCAAATGCCCACAGCAAATGACCTGTGCAAATGACTTCTCCCTAATGAGACATATTCTTTGTAGGTAATCGGATCATCACCTATCATGTTTATCTTTGCTCGTACAATTGTACAAATATAAAAACAAATCGTAGGAAAACTACAATGTATAGCTTTTATAACACTACCTTCGTTCTCATACTAGCATGCTGTGCTCTATCCCGGAACCGTTTTACAAATTAATCCAGGCTAGTCTTAAAGCTTTGCGGTATTGTCACAACTATTGGTGATTGGCGAGATTCGAATCCGCAACCTTGAGGTCCAAAGACCCTCAGCCTACCAATAACTGTCCCTTCGAGCATTCGGGACACCCCTCAATTCCATTGGTGTCAACTTTCCCGGGAAATTCTCCCTCCAAATACGCGGAAGAAGACGTCCCTCTACTTGTTGCGACGTGTCAATACACTGTATTATACACAGGGGTCAGCGGTGATCGGTAATTATTAATGTCAACAGTTGAGCGCAGCTGGTCACGCGATACAGCCCCCGCTAACGTAGTACGTGGCTCTTGTCAAATATTCATAAACTACGCAAACTACGCAGTTACATCCTTAATTTGCATGTTATATTGGCCTTTCTTTAATGTTATAAAACACCAAAGACTTTTTCCAAAACAAATTTATATGTGATTCGATGTGCATTCGTTACATGAGTTGCGTTTTAAAATGTAGAGTGATTGTGTTTTAAACTTTAATGTGTAGGTGAGAGTTGCATGGAACTTTTTAAATCACGAATTGTTGAAATATTTAATCAATCCGTTAAAATATAAGAATATATTGGACCGTTAAAATGTTTCATTTCTGCATAGTGATACAAAACCTTTGAAGATGAAAAACATACACTTTGCAATGGTATACCTATGACCATGGTTGAACAATTAAAATCTCATTTTATGTGTCTGCAAGATTGAAAATATCTCAATTTCGTGATGTTTCTGGTAAGCATTACCGATCGTTTATGCCTGATATACTCGAGGCTCGCACATGCTTTACGTGCTACAATGTTACATCCGATATGTTCACATAACACTTTTCATACATTTGTGCAGATTCTACAAACATTTTGTGTACCTTTTTGCCATTTGAAATTTATTCGTTTATAGTTATGATTGTTGTACTTGATGGATTTTCGGTGCAATTGAAGCCAATAACAAGCAAGAATTAACAACCTAGACCTAGTGAACATAAAATGGACGTGAATTTAAGTTTATATAAAAATAATTCTTGATTAAAATACCAACACAGATTTACGTGTTTGTTATTTTATCCTAGACCGCTCGAGAAATTTATAAAGATCCACATTACTGGTTGGAGAAGAAACTTAAACAATACGAAAATCGTAGATTTGTGTACAAAAATAACTGTCCTATTAAAATGTCTTTATCCCAATGTGGGTTCAGAGTTATGGCTAAACCTCAATTACATAAAAAACCACACTTGACAACCATACACGATTCAAAATTTGTTCCCTTGGAAAACTCAAGTATAAAAGGCGTATTACCGTAGGCATTTCTCACGATGTTATCACATTTTTTTGACTAGGGGTTCCTTCAAATGTGTAGGATTAAGGAAACTATCTCTTCTGCTTTTCCCTGCTTCGTATTAGGTTACAAGGTACAAATGTGATTTTGGCTACACTCCCTTTAGCCAGCACACCGTATAGCTGGTTTGTGTTGTGGTCTTAGAATATTGTACGAACACTTTATATTTAACATAGTCTTTATATTTCGTCTCACAAGACGAAACCATCAAAATATATGACTGAGATAAGTATGATATACGTGTTTGTTTTTCTTTTAGGGAAGAAATATGATTCGTTAGAAGAAATGATTTGTTCAACCCAAAAGGTACGATATAAACAAACCAGGTATGTTACGAAACAGATCTCGTCAGGTTTGTGCCCCACCTTTTGATTGGATTAATTTTTTTATTACAGGTGTGACGAATATTAATGTGTTGTAGGTCTTGTCATAGCCATGTCTCACAACATGTGTCTGGAAATACTAATTAAATCTGTTACGTTATTAGATATGGGCAGTTATAATTGTCTTTACCTACTTTTTAGAATACTAATTTACAACCTTACACTGGTACCTTACAACTGCCATTCAAAACGGAAACGTATGACTTTGAATGAAATAAACAAACAACGTTGTATCAAAAGTTTGGAAATAATATTTACTGATTTTAGAACAACAAAAAAAGGTACAATAGTTTAGCATATTTAAAAATGTATTATGAACCTCGGCAATAATTTTCCTTTATTTGTAACGACCCTTACAATAGTTACACTAAAGTAAATGTCACAATGCATTTCAATGTCATAATTCTTTTAAAGCTGACGAAATCAGTAAATTACAATATGTTAAACTATCAGATAGATTACACTACAATCTTATATACAGTTATATTTTATACATACTCATTGTAAGGTGCCCAAACCCTAACCCCAAAGGCGAACACCGAAAACAGACATTTTCATTGGTGCCGGGCGCATGCTCAGGGAGATCGATCCATTTCTTGTTATAGTTCCACTCATCGCTACCAGAGCTTGCAAGTTACCAGGGGAAGAAAAATGTGGAGGCAACTTTCGTATTTCGCCAAAAATGAATTAAATTTGGATTTCTTAAGATTTATTCTTAGAATTTGGACTCTGTTTCCTTTTGACTTTTAAAGTAAGGATTTATCCATATTCATTAACATTTTACACTTTATACTAACTCTCTTAGTAGGGTGTGATATTATTTGTGAAATATAACATGCCATTATATCTTTATAAGGCAATTTAGTTGTAAAGCATTGAGGTCAAGTGTAGTATGAGCTATAAAAGTAATTAAAAATATCTTACGTTAAAAAAAATAAAATTGTATTTACCAAAGCTATTTTATGTTGAACTATTATGTTTTTACAGATGTTATGCAATTTTTTAAATATATCGTTACAGGTGTAATTTGTCACAACTTCAGATTTCACATTATCTTTACTAGCAGAATATACAACAGAATAAATGTAACCTCAAACTAGCTTGTTAACTAAATTTTGTTGTATTAATTTGTAGAAAATATTATTCAAACTCATGCTGCATTTCTTTTTTTATTCCTACAATGTTTATTATCTGGGCAAATTTTGATACAATATTGAAAGACATGTTTATATACGTAATATATACTTAGATGCGAAGCTTTTTTACCTGTTCGACTAGGCTGCTTTATTATCAATCAGGAAATGAATTTACTACGTAAATCAAAATGAGCCAGGGAGTTAAAAAAATAAAGTTGGTATTCTTAAAGCCATATTTCTTAAAGCTTTTACGTTGTCTACTTCAACGTAAAAGCGTAATTAAACATTCTAAGGAACAATGGAGATAAGAATAACACTTGGATTGTCAAACATATCATCTTATAAAATTGACAGTACAGTATTGAATAAATAACATTTATCATATTTACAAATAAATTTATAGAGCACAATTGGGTTATGTTTAAAATGTTTTTGGAACTCATAATGTGTAACTGACCATGGCAGACTGTACCTCCTCATTTGCAACTCTCACTGTGGTTTTGTCTTTGTTAGGTTGAGGTTCTGCAAATGTCAAATACCCAGCTTCCACCAACAGCCGAAAGAAGAAGTTCTCACAGTACTGAGGTAGCTGCTCCACTTGGTTTTTCAAAAGTAAAATGTCGTCGATTCTGATATCCTTTTTCAAATCCACCTCAACGGTGTTTCTTAAAACCAGATGAACTACTTGTGCTTTCAAGGACTCTTCTCCGACCATGATTCCTATCAACTCGTCAGCCAGAGCAGAGCCGGTCCAATACACAGACTCTTTCTTGTACGCAAAGTACTCACTTATAGAGAACGGGTTCGCCAATTTGAACAATCCGTCGCTTGACGTGTATCCTCCATACCATTTGATAACTTCGTCAAAATTGTGTGAAAGGTCAAACTTCACCAAGAGATCTTTGACTTCATCATGAGTGAAACCGAAGTAAGTGATGAACTCTACGGATTGCATGAAAGGAATGAGTTTAAACTTGGGCAGCACTGGGCTTTTAACACCATATAACCAGTTTTCTCCTGATATCAAAGCATGTGCGATGAGATTCTCATTGGCAAAAGTTTTGTTGAGAACTGAGGAATACCACTCAACAATAGCAGGTAAGTCTTTCTTGTTGTGGATGATTCCTTCACTGATTCCTCTACCGTACTCGTCAGCCAATAGAATCACCGGCTTTCCATGATGGGTGTGAAGGACTTCCACAAGAAAGTTGAGCCCCGAAGAGACCGTATTGGCGTCTACAAGTCTACAACTGGTAAGATCTGCGTAGATCTCTAGCATTTTTCGTTGATCGTCACTAATCTTTTCACTGTCGAAGAGGTACATGTGATCACTAATGGCGTTGTACACGGCTACTTTAAACGCAGTTAGAATGTTGTCTAACACAGTTGAAGCGCCTACAATTTTCAGATTGAAATGCACAATCGGATGTTCTCCGAGATTTTGTTTAACAAAAGCGTTGCTGTTCCAAAGCTTTGTGTCTTTAAAATATTTTTCAATTTCATCTTTTGGCCGCTGATTTCCTAAAAACAAACTAATCATATCTAGGTTGGTTGATTTTCCAAACTTACTTGGGGCGTTTACAAATAAATACTTATGTCGCATAAATTCTTCCACCAGTAGTGTCTTGTCCACGAACGTTTTTTTGTTACGTGTTTCCATGAACTTGTTGTCGAAAACACTTCTTGAAGAAACACTGTAAAGTGTGAACATAAAGGTGGCCAGTAGTAGCTTCATAACTGTAAGCTTATAGTTGACTAAATGACACAAAACTATTAACACTCGAATGTGTACTACCGGTACTGAATCTATTAAGATTAAAGAACTATTAAGATTAAACAGTTAAAGATTAATAAACTATTAAGACGTATCTGATCAGACATGGTAGTATTCGAGATAAGAACATATTTTAAGATCTCGACAAATGTCATTCTACAACTGATAAGGTTATTATTAGATTCTTAAATAGGAAGCTTAGTGGAAAAAATAATATTGTGCTTAAGAAGCGAAAAATATTCTTATTGATACATTCAACAAATATTCGTGTGTATGTACAATAATGACAAATTTACGGATGGCCTAACACGTCTTAGTGAATTAAGGAGGGTAAGTAATGCTATGTAAAACCGTATTTTCTCTCATAAGCTTATCTGTTAGGATTTATCTGTAAAGAGAAAATACAAACGTATTAAACCGTAAAGTTTATTCTTATAAAAATAGGAGCTAGATGAAACAACAAATAATTGAAATAAGTAAACAAAGATAAAAAACATATTGCGTATACAATTTAAATTTTATTTCATGATCCATACTAGATGTAAATAACTACTTTCTAGCTCACAAGTAGTTTTTCGAAAGCAATTTTGACTACTATTTTTGTGTTCATGGTTAAAAACAAAAAATAATACATGAGCATAATAAAGGTATAAAAGTACCATAAACTCTACGGTAGTTTTTTTTACGTAGAACAATACTTTAAAAAAACTTTTATATGTATAAAAAAAACTATAATCATTACGTTTTTAGACAATCAACTAAGTAAGAAACATGCGAAGGAAGCTATGTATATTTAAACGTAAACTTACTTTTAGTTTATTCAATAAGCTTAAGTACAACAGCCCTCACTTCCTCATTAGGAAACTTTAAAATCACATTTCTCGGACGTTCCTGTTCGTCTGCCGGAGTTACAAAACCAGCCTCAAGAAGAGTTTCCACAAGAAAATCCACACATTTGTCAGGTGTTTCAGAAACCTCCTTAGCCAATACTGAAAGATCTAAAGTCTTATTGACATCTGGCACTTTCATGTCAACCGTTCTTCTCCAGTATAGCTCGTGAAGCTTCTCCTTTAATGTTTCTTCTTTAGACATCGTACGAAGCAATCCATAGCTAAGAGCAGACCCTGACCAATGTGCCTTTTCTTCTTTACGAGCTATATATTCGATAATTGAGTACGGATTGCAAATTTTAAACGCTCCGTCGTACGATGAATACCCACAGTACCATTTCATCACTTCCTTTTTCTGTTTCAGAGTCACGTTCTTGACGTTCTTATCCAAGAGATGTTCCGCTTCAGCGTAGGTGAATCCAAAAAAGCGACTCCATTCGAGCTTCTCCATGAAACCCACCCGGTCCAAGAGTTTATCCCCTGCTACACCACGGAGACGATTCTCAGCAGTGAACAACGCGTGAGAAATGAGACTTTGGTTAGCAAAAGTGTGATTGAGGAAAGACGAGTAAAACTCCACAATCTGCATCAGGTCGACATGGTTTTGTAGAATACCGTCTGTGATCCCCGCGCCGAAATCGTCAGCTAGCAAAACCACTGGCTTAGAATGGAACTTGTGTAAGACTTCTACAAGGACACTAACTCCCTTTGCCACCATTTCAGTGCCCATCTGTCTGCATTTCGTGTAGTCGGTGTACAACTTCATCAACCGCATTTGTTCATCAGTTAGTTTCTTGCTCTCCAACAGATGAACGTGGTCACTGAAAGCGTTGTACAGGGCGACCTGAAATGCTGACAAAGTATGCTCGAAGTCTTTTGAGTATCCACTCAGCTTCAAACAGAACTGTACCACCGGATGCTTTCCCATATGAGCTTCGACGACTTCTGGACTTTCCCAAATCTTCGTGAACACGAAATAGTGTTCAACATCTTGCTTCGAGTGGTGGCGGCCTAAAAACAGGTTTATCATGTCCAAGTTTGAAGTTTTGCCAAATTTACTCGGAACACTCAAAAATACATATTTATGTCTAAGCATTTCGTAAATTAAGGGAGTCTTGTCTACATAAGTAAATGTACTTCTCAAGTCTGTGTACTTGTTGTCTTCCACACTTTTCTTGCAGCAAACGAAAGTAAATGAAGAAATAAGTATAATATACAAAAACATAGTTACAGCTACACACTACTCACAAACAAAGAAACCAACCAAACACTGAGTAAATAAGGTGACGAAGTGTTTGCTTATAAGTGTTTTATAAAACATCACTTATCAAATTTACATCCTATCAATTAAGATAATCTCTGATAAGATACCATTGAGTACGTTTTACGTAAACGCTGCAATAGTGATGACGTGATTGCTGACGTAAATCGGTGTTTAATAGTCTGATTACATATGTTTTTCTTAAAATGATTCTCTTCAAAATCATTGAACTTTACCCAAATAACCTAAAATTTTCAAGAGCTTAGCACATGATCATGGTTCACATAAAATTTTCCAAAATAATGCAATTTGTTGCCTACTATATGGTCCATGGTCAAATTATATAACACTGCTTTTTACATTATATGGCAGTAAAACAGTAATAGTTAACGGATATGCTGTTGTAGACATATTCCAGATTTAGAAGCAAAAGCAGTGAGCTCTTGCACAGGTCATTAGGGCGCGGGATTTTTGTCCCGGGTTCAAATTCCGTCAATATAAATGCCTTTTTGCTGTGTGAAAATGTCAAGACTGACTAGTATAGGTCTAGTATGAAGTAGTGTGTAAGATTGGTTTAGACTAGAGCCTATTGACCTACGAAGAACTTGTGAGGAATAAAAAGCATGTATATTACTATCTGATTATATACTTGGTACTGAATGCACAATAAAGTTGTTTGAATAATACGTAAATATTAATCATAAATGAATGTATACACATTACAGCGATTCCGTCCATTAGACTTACTTTATGATTTCAAAGAAGGTATTAATACACGATTTCACATTGAGAGGCTTATTTTAGAGAAATAAAAAATAAAGGAAAAAATAAAGAAAAAGAAAGAAAAATAAAAAATAAAGAAAAATAAAAATAAAGAAAAACGAGAACTACAGTTTCAAAATATAAATGTTGAATGTTGTTGTCTATGCATGCTATCAGTCGATCAGTCATACGGGATTGTGTATGTAAAGAAAAAATCTTAAACACAAGCTAGTCATTTAAGGTTCTATATCATTATCGGTAAGTCCAAGAAGGATAGAAGTATAACTGCGCTCGACCTAGCGGATTTCCGAAGAACTAGAAACTATCCTTGTCTCCAGGAGAACGTTGTTTTGCTTCCAGGCAACGTTCTCCTGGAGACAAGGATAGTTTCTAGTTCTTCGGAAATCCGCTAGGTCGAGCACAGTTACTGTATACCGATAATGCTATAGAACCATAAATCACTTGCATGTGTTTAAGATTTTTTTCTTTACGTACACAGTTTATGCATTAACTTTGGTACTATAAACATAAATATGATGCTTTTGTTCACAGATTTTTATTATTACTCTTACGAATGAATGAATGAATTACATCTTTAATCCAGCAGTATAATACTGTAGTAGTATGAATATAATGTAACTGATGGGGTTAAATCAAAATGCAAAAGCTTATGCATTTAGTAAAAAAAATTTCAACTAAAAAGTTTTGGGTGTGTAATTTTTCTAAATTCAATGTTTTGTTAACTTCATTATACTGAATTTTAGCCTCCTGGTCGCATTTAAATACTATCAATTGGTGTAAATGCCTGCATTTATGCAGCTACAAACAAGATCGCATAAATGCAGGAATTTACACCAATTTATAGTTTTGTTAACGTTTGATAAGTGGCTATTTTTCATGAAATGTTTCTTTGAGCATGCCAATAGGCCGTCATTTCGAAATGTACAAGGTGTTATAACAATATTGTTGGAGACTTTTAATAACAACTATTTTAAAGTTTTAACATGTTCCGTTAGAATATAACAAGAGGCTTCGAGTTAACAATTGCAAAAATACAAAGGGCGGATTACAGCTAAGCTAAACCGAATAGCAAAAATGTACTTTATATTTTTTTTACTAATTTTGGTATGTTAAGCCTGGTTCGCCAGAGCTTGATACGTGTTTTGTTACACGCTGTATTTAGCAATATAACAGCTTATTGGAATTCTGTATCGTGTATACAGTTTTATTGCTACAATATACAATGCTATCATGTTGGTGGTAGTGTATTGGTTAACAAATAACTACATACAGAGATAGGAATTGCACAATAAATATGATTTAGTGCTACCGTATGATACGAAACATAGGTAGAAGAGTAATGGTCATAGTCACTAACAAATTCTACTGGACACTATTCACATGGTATTGGAATATTAAACGTTTATTTCGAGGTATTTTAACCTACGAATGTTAACGATCTCATCAAAATAATGGCTAAAATTATAAATAATTCAATACGTGTTGAATATTTACAAACTGTATGTCTCCTATTGGCCTACACATTTTGCTCGGACTGGTTAAGCACCTAGATGAACTTTATATTCTATTATCTAATTAATTTAGATGGGATATTTAGTCAAATAAATTTTACTTTATTAGATACTAAACTTAACTGCAGGGGTAGGTTAATTTGAAGAAAAATATTTTCTATTAAGTTGCTACAATAAAAAAAAGAAAAACAAAAACAAAAATAAAGCAAAGTAAAACTTGGTAAGGCGAGATATCGACTAGCAACGTGAGTATAGAACAGTTCTTGATATTTTTGTGAAAACATTGCCTTTATGCATAAATAAATCTGTAATGCCTATATTACTAACAAAACATGTATTATTTTAATATTATATTTTGATCAAGTACATCAAAGGCTCAAAAGGGACATAATGATCATGACACTAACTAAGTTCAAATCGGGGATTAAAAATTTGTGTGAATGTCATAGTATAAATGTATATAGAATGGTGTATTTTTCAGTGTTCTAAGTAGTTTTCTCGTGTTAAGTAGTATCATCAAAGTGTTATGTGTTGTTTTGTATCGAGGCCAGGCCAAGTGGCCATTTTTAGTGATTCATCTGAGAATTAAGACATGACATTGTAAGCTTCCAATATTGAACAAAACTACGCTCTTAATCTCTAAGGCAAAACAAATTTTGAACCGACCATGTTGTTGCTAGAAATAATTGGAAAATAGCACAATTGGTTTTTTACTCTTTAATATTTCTTACGAGTTAAGTTAATTCTACGAAGATGCCATAGAAATTGTTCTAAATATCATTACAAAGTGAAATTCATTCAGCTGTTTGTATTTAGTTGCAAAATAGCTCATATTTACCAACGAAAGGAAATAAGTATTTCTTTACAAAACAATTGTCAATGATACAAGCTGCAACACGCTCCGTTGAGCACTACGAAAACAATCTTGCAGCAAATAACTGTTGGAATGGAAATAAAACACGTGCTTCTCACTTTCAATAGAGAAGAATGAAAATGTTCGACAATGAGGTCAGAGTTTGTTTCAAATTGTAACAGTCTGGAAAAGTCGATTTTAAATTGTAAAGCTTATTGTATAGAATTTTTATAATAAATTTATAACTAAGAAAGATAGTAATAAAACTGAAACTGTATACTTTCCAGGTCTGGGGGTTAAAACCCTCCTAAAAACTAGTTTCTTGCATTCATTCACCACCATTTACGTGTATGAGGTATAGGGGTAGTTAGGCTTATTTTTACTTAGATAGCTTAGCACTATTGGGTAGCCATTTACTTATGAAGTAAGAAAATGTATCCCACACAATTTGTAATTGTTCAAAAAAAATTTAATTATTCCATACGAAACTGACAATACCTTTCCGTAAGTGGGAAAAAATATATATTATTGACCTCCCACATGTAGGCTACAGCAGAGTTACATTAGGTCAAGTTAGATAACTCTATAACGACCAGGATGAGTTTAGTTTAAACCAAAATAATTCAAAATCTAGCCAACAAATGATTAAATTCAGAATATTCAAATACACACAAAACTCATGCGTGTTTGATTATTCTCGATACAACCTTTATTTATTGATAACTATTCATTTATTCATATGCTGAATCATCAACGCAATATACTGAATAGCAGGTAAAAACTAAATTAAATAATTTAAACGGGTTTCCTCGAGAAAATTGCCCTTAAGCCTTGTGGTACCTGACCTGCAATTTGTAGAAATCACAATCCCCAATGGATTTAATTCCATTTTGTTCTTATAAAATAAACTATGTAATTTAGCGGTATTATTTTACCTGCAAACGTGGCTGTTTCGTTATTCTTATTTAATTGTGTTGCTTTAAGTGGCAAAACATAGTGTAATAGTAAAGTGTGTTCAATTAAAAATTTATTAAATAAGTAAGTAAAGGTGCCATCCACAACCCCTCACTCTCACCTCTTTGAGTTTATTTTATCAACATGGATTGATTAAATCCACCAAATTAAGTTAATTAACCTTGGTGGTCATTTTTTCAGATGTGTAATTCTAAATGTTCTTTTGTTTATTATATTGAAACAGATTTTCTAAAAAAAAAAAAAAAAAAAAAAAAAAAAAAAAACCCTAGTTGTATAATCGGTTGGAAATAATGTTACTTCACTTATCTTGAATCAGGTAAGATGTATTTTTTCAGAAACATATGACACAGGCCTATCATATGTACCAAGATAGCCTATATAAAATATTTACGACTAATGTATAGACGAATAAAATGTTTACGAAAAATGGATGTTTATCTAATTTAACGTAACCTGTTACGCAATATATCCTTGAATACTAACTTCAATAACAAGAATTACTGACCCTGATCGAAAATATATGTTTACATTGACACCCTTGATGTAAAACAAACATGTAAAACACTTACACTATACTAGGCTATTCCCTCATAAACAAATTGGAATAGCATTGATCGATTAAAAAGCTTAACTTAACATGTATATATACGTGCGGAAATTACTTGACACACCTTCCTTTGTGATATCGTCTTGGCAGGTATTCTGAGGAGTAAACGGAAGTTGCATGTGCTATGTGTGTGTGTCTTGCATTAATACAAGTCACATATATAATGTAATTCCATATATAACCATAAACTAATAATATCCAATAGGCAGTAAATGTTATAGTGTGATGAATATAACTAACAATTCTTACCAATATTTTAACAGGTTTA